AGTAATTTAATTAAAAGTGATTAATGCGCGTATGTGAATTTATTTAGATCTTTCGTCATTTCTGTTATAATGTGTACTCGAATTAAGAAATGTATTCTATTATCCTCTATGAAAGAATCTTCATAATTTCAGCAATTTGAAAATAAAAGATATGAAATTGTAAGTATTTAAGAAATTATATATTAAATAATTAATTACATATATCCTTTTTTTCAAAAATATATTAACGTGGATGCACTATCCTACCAATGTTAGGCATCCTGCTTCTAAATGAAATCTTTCCTAAAATTTACTTATGCAAAATATTTTCCATTAGCTTGTGTACACTTTCCAACAAGAGGCTACGTCAATTATCACTTTATAGTAGAAATTGGTATTCCTTCAAGCAAATTCTTAGGATGTACTAGCAGTTTCATCTGACTGGCACTGCTTCGAAAACTTGTCGACATTTATCAATAAGCATGAAACTGCGGAGACAGATTTGGTGAATAGAAATTAATATTTTAACTTACATGATTTAGGTACAATTTCTGCGTAAAACTAAATATAATATTTTACTTGTATTTTAACTTTTCTTGCGTTGCTCGCATTAAATACACAAATCTTTAAGTACAATATTTATGACGTCTTCGTATGTAAACAAATGTGATTGTATCATTATTATCACGTCGACTGTCACTTGTACAATCTTAGTAGCACAATTCGTCGTTCATCTTTAAAACTTTATTTTCGTAAACCGAATTTCATAAAGATGTTTTCTTTGATTAANTGAATTTATTTAGATCTTTCGTCATTTCTGTTATAATGTGTACTCGAATTAAGAAATGTATTCTATTATCCTCTATGAAAGAATCTTCATAATTTCAGCAATTTGAAAATAAAAGATATGAAATTGTAAGTATTTAAGAAATTATATATTAAATAATTAATTACATATATCCTTTTTTTCAAAAATATATTAACGTGGATGCACTATCCTACCAATGTTAGGCATCCTGCTTCTAAATGAAATCTTTCCTAAAATTTACTTATGCAAAATATTTTCCATTAGCTTGTGTACACTTTCCAACAAGAGGCTACGTCAATTATCACTTTATAGTAGAAATTGGTATTCCTTCAAGCAAATTCTTAGGATGTACTAGCAGTTTCATCTGACTGGCACTGCTTCGAAAACTTGTCGACATTTATCAATAAGCATGAAACTGCGGAGACAGATTTGGTGAATAGAAATTAATATTTTAACTTACATGATTTAGGTACAATTTCTGCGTAAAACTAAATATAATATTTTACTTGTATTTTAACTTTTCTTGCGTTGCTCGCATTAAATACACAAATCTTTAAGTACAATATTTATGACGTCTTCGTATGTAAACAAATGTGATTGTATCATTATTATCACGTCGACTGTCACTTGTACAATCTTAGTAGCACAATTCGTCGTTCATCTTTAAAACTTTATTTTCGTAAACCGAATTTCATAAAGATGTTTTCTTTGATTAAATAAATTACTACTTATAATTTCACCGCATTTTCCAATTTGTTAAGTAAAAAAACTTTTACATTATCTGCAATCGAAAATGTCACATGCAGTAGCTTAATACCCATAGAATGTTGAATGTTATCGTAGTGATAGAGTTTTCCAGATTCTATGATTTGATTGATTTGTTTCCTATTGTATAAAAACTGTATTAAACAGAACATAGAAATAATGTAATGTAATATAATATAATNAGAATATAATAGTTCTTGCTATACGGGGGTAATCTAAGGTTAGTGAATAAATCATGCAATTTAGAAACCGCGTTATGAAGATGAATCAACTATGGTAGATTACAACGTTACAGAATGACTGTCGCAATTTTTGCACCAAATTACAGGAGGACCTGGATTATTCAAACATCTCGCATCTGCACTCTTTATCATTCGAACACATTGTATTCATAAACAAATCGATCTAAGGTGGCCTGCATACAATAACATTCATTATATAAATCAGTGACGATTTAATCTAGCATTTTTATTGAGTAACTGTACTATTATTTGAACTCGTTAATATATTCATAAAATTTTCAACATACACATAAATTACAGAGATCTACAAAATGCATTATTTAAATCTTTGTTCTAGGCTGTCTTTGTTCAGATGAAAAAGTTGACAAAACGTTGTATGAGATCTTTAGAACGTCTTATTACAATACTAAATAAAAAAGAG